TGAATATGGGGTTATTGGTACAAATTAGGATACAAATATAAACCACACACAAAATCACAATGAATATACAAAATAGCAAAAATAAGAATATGAATATGCCAAAATAATCCGTGTTCTTATCGGGCTCACCAATTAATTTGTAGGGGACTTATATTAGAGTTCACTAACATTCCAAGTATAAAAGTAATAATCCAAGTCAGTGGAGTGTTAAATCACAATATATAACCAAAAATACAGTGACGAGTTATAGCAACAAAAAGGATTACTTGAAGATAACGTCTAAGCCCTCGGCTACAAATTAATTATATAATCCACGGGCACGTTAATTGTTTGGACTGCGTCTGCTGTGTTCCGGTTGTAGAAATGTCTTCGTTTGAGAGTAGTAGGCTCCTACAATAAATCCGAAGTATACAACACGGTGTGAGTGGAGCAAGTAAGCAGAAGTGACCAGGGAGAAGACGAAGTCTCCAACAGCAGAGTGTATTTTTCAATTGTACACGGAAGTTATGTATATTTCAACAAGAAGCGTTTTAAACAAAAATTATGTACAATATCTCGAATTTATACAAGTAACCAAAAAGTGTACAATCACATTGTTACGTACTCAACACGGCTCCCCCCCTAGAGGTCCGGAGAGACAACCGGGAAATGATACGTAAAACTATGAAGTAAATAATAATAGTAATAGCAACTTTTGGATAAAAATAGGGATATATTACAACATGCATAAACGCGAGAAGGTATGTGAGTCATGTAAAGTCTGAAATCATATACAATTGGTTCAGCAATAAAAATTGAAAGAGAAAGTCATGTCACTTAAATTTGCACTAACCATGAACATAGATTTTTAATGTATAAAGAAAAGTATGTAAATACACAGTAATTAAGGAGGGGAAAGAAACATTAAAAAAAATATGGATTAAAGATCAATAGCTTTTAGAAAGGACACTACCTGTTTTTTCGGTGAGGTACATATAAATAAATAATAGTGATAGTAACATCAAAGTTTACGACGAAATACTAACCGTCATGATGATAATGTCTAAACGATAAAGATAATGATAATTTTTAATTATTTTTCTTTTGTTAGTCCTCAAAATGAACGTAGCGAGCCGGTTTACTGATTTGCCGACCACTACGTGTGTGATATGGAGGGAGGATAAGACTTGATGCCGGTGGAGGGGATTCGGATGTTTGATTATTTGATTGTGCAGCTGCCGATGTAGATTCGAAGTCGTTGTCGGTGTATGCGGGTTTGATTCGATCAATTGAAACAGTCTCTCGTCTTCCATTCTTGTTCACTGTAAAGTGTTTGTCTGAACGTTTAATAACTTGAAAGGGTCCTTCATATGGAGGTTGCAATCCTTTTCTGATGGCGTCGACTCGAATGAAGACGAATTTGCAAGTTTGTAGATGTTTGTTGATCTGATCTCTTCGGGGAGATTGTCGAGGTGCTGTTGGTTGAAGTTGAAGCATTTGTCTAGTTAATCGGTTAGTGAAGTCGGCAATGTTCACGTCTGTGGAATCGGCTGAGGGGACTAGCTGTCGAGGCAAGGTTAGGTGGCATTTATTGTGGCGTTTGTCTCGCTATTAGTTGTCTGCTCATTTGATGTACCGGACCGAGGTGATGACATTATGAATATGGGGTTATTGGTACAAATTAGGATACAAATATAAACCACACACAAAATCACAATGAATATACAAAATAGCAAAAATAAGAATATGAATATGCCAAAATAATCCGTGTTCTTATCGGGCTCACCAATTAATTTGTAGGGGACTTATATTAGAGTTCACTAACATTCCAAGTATAAAAGTAATAATCCAAGTCAGTGGAGTGTTAAATCACAATATATAACCAAAAATACAGTGACGAGTTATAGCAACAAAAAGGATTACTTGAAGATAACGTCTAAGCCCTCGGCTACAAATTAATTATATAATCCACGGGCACGTTAATTGTTTGGACTGCGTCTGCTGTGTTCCGGTTGTAGAAATGTCTTCGTTTGAGAGTAGTAGGCTCCTACAATAAATCCGAAGTATACAACACGGTGTGAGTGGAGCAAGTAAGCAGAAGTGACCAGGGAGAAGACGAAGTCTCCAACAGCAGAGTGTATTTTTCAATTGTACACGGAAGTTATGTATATTTCAACAAGAAGCGTTTTAAACAAAAATTATGTACAATATCTCGAATTTATACAAGTAACCAAAAAGTGTACAATCACATTGTTACGTACTCAACACGGCTCCCCCCCTAGAGGTCCGGAGAGACAACCGGGAAATGATACGTAAAACTATGAAGTAAATAATAATAGTAATAGCAACTTTTGGATAAAAATAGGGATATATTACAACATGCATAAACGCGAGAAGGTATGTGAGTCATGTAAAGTCTGAAATCATATACAATTGGTTCAGCAATAAAAATTGAAAGAGAAAGTCATGTCACTTAAATTTGCACTAACCATGAACATAGATTTTTAATGTATAAAGAAAAGTATGTAAATACACAGTAATTAAGGAGGGGAAAGAAACATTAAAAAAAATATGGATTAAAGATCAATAGCTTTTAGAAAGGACACTACCTGTTTTTTTCGGTGAGGTACATATAAATAAATAATAGTGATAGTAACATCAAAGTTTACGACGAAATACTAACCGTCATGATGATAATGTCTAAACGATAAAGATAATGATAATTTTTAATTATTTTTCTTTTGTTAGTCCTCAAAATGAACGTAGCGAGCCGGTTTACTGATTTGCCGACCACTACGTGTGTGATATGGAGGGAGGATAAGACTTGATGCCGGTGGAGGGGATTCGGATGTTTGATTATTTGATTGTGCAGCTGCCGATGTAGATTCGAAGTCGTTGTCGGTGTATGCGGGTTTGATTCGATCAATTGAAACAGTCTCTCGTCTTCCATTCTTGTTCACTGTAAAGTGTTTGTCTGAACGTTTAATAACTTGAAAGGGTCCTTCATATGGAGGTTGCAATCCTTTTCTGATGGCGTCGACTCGAATGAAGACGAATTTGCAAGTTTGTAGATGTTTGTTGATCTGATCTCTTCGGGGAGATTGTCGAGGTGCTGTTGGTTGAAGTTGAAGCATTTGTCTAGTTAATCGGTTAGTGAAGTCGGCAATGTTCACGTCTGTGGAATCGGCTGAGGGGACTAGCTGTCGAGGCAAGGTTAGGTGGCATTTATTGTGGCGTTTGTCTCGCTATTAGTTGTCTGCTCATTTGATGTACCGGACCGAGGTGATGACATTATGAATATGGGGTTATTGGTACAAATTAGGATACAAATATAAACCACACACAAAATCACAATGAATATACAAAATAGCAAAAATAAGAATATGAATATGCCAAAATAATCCGTGTTCTTATCGGGCTCACCAATTAATTTGTAGGGGACTTATATTAGAGTTCACTAACATTCCAAGTATAAAAGTAATAATCCAAGTCAGTGGAGTGTTAAATCACAATATATAACCAAAAATACAGTGACGAGTTATAGCAACAAAAAGGATTACTTGAAGATAACGTCTAAGCCCTCGGCTACAAATTAATTATATAATCCACGGGCACGTTAATTGTTTGGACTGCGTCTGCTGTGTTCCGGTTGTAGAAATGTCTTCGTTTGAGAGTAGTAGGCTCCTACAATAAATCCGAAGTATACAACACGGTGTGAGTGGAGCAAGTAAGCAGAAGTGACCAGGGAGAAGACGAAGTCTCCAACAGCAGAGTGTATTTTTCAATTGTACACGGAAGTTATGTATATTTCAACAAGAAGCGTTTTAAACAAAAATTATGTACAATATCTCGAATTTATACAAGTAACCAAAAAGTGTACAATCACATTGTTACGTACTCAACATATCCACCACCAACAGCACTCACACAACTGCTTGTCAGTGGAAACCATTCCTCCAACGAAAGCAGAAATCCTGAATGCACTCAAGGTACTGAAGTCCACTCGGGGAGGCAGCAAGGCTGGATGGAATTCCCCCGAAGCACTGTAAACGGACCAAGAGACTGCTGAAAATGTGCTCACGCCATTATCGCTAAGTGCTTGGGAGGAAGAAAAGGTGCCTACCGATCGGAAGAAAGGCTACCTTGTCAAGCTGCAAAAGAAGAGTGACTTAGGTCTCTGCAACAACTGGCGTGGAATCATGCTCTTGTCCACGCCCAGTAAAGTACTAAATTCGTATCATCCTGGAGGGGATAAAGGATGCACTGGATACAGAACTCCTCTGACGGAACAAGCTGTATTCAGGAAAATCAAGACATGTACTGATCAAGCTGTAACTCTACGCATAGTCATCGAACAAAGCATAGAATCTCAGTCAAACCACTACCTCAATAAATTCATCGACTTCGAGAAGGCCTTCAACAGCGTTCGCCGAGACGCAATTTGGAAACTACTTCAACACTACGGTCCACCTCAAGTCTTCATCAACTTCATTCAGCAGCCGGCAGTATGGCGATGCCACGTGTCAGGTGATCCATTACGGGGAGCTCAGCAAGGCGTCCGAAGTGAATACAGAAGTAAGACAAGGCAGCCTACTGTAACCCATGATGATATTCTCAATTGTGGTGGACTAGATTATGCGTTCGACTGTGAGTGGAAGGGAGGCTCAGAAGACAAATGCGTCAGCTGTTACCACACCAGACCACAAATCCTGAGACAGACGTCTTTTTACATCTTACTCGGTGCTTGTTGACACAGGCGACAACTGGTGAGGCCTTATGGACTTACCATCATACTCACTACGTTAACAGATGAGTGTATAGAATCCCAAGTCCTACAATGGGAAGGGGGTTAAATCGCCTGTTGGATGGTCTCATTCAGAGGCATTATGAGACAGCGACACATTTAGACATACGTCATCGAAGAAATACCTTAAATATTTTGTTCCAATCTTTCAGGAGGGATGAACTGTTCATTTTAGGTATGAGTAAAGCATTGAATACTAGTCTTAATATGTTTAGTTGTTTTACCCCTTGAAGGTTGGATATTGGATATTGGAAGGTCGGCCATTCTTTTGTAAAACGGACAAAAAATGAAAATTGGAGAGCTAAGGCCTGACCAGTCAGTTATAGTTGAGGCTTTAGTCCGTGAACTCGAAAATTTGGATAGTAATGCCTACCCTGCACTTTATAATTTGGCAGAAAATGGTATGTGATTGTTTACCCTTAACTGACAATGTTGCAGAACTTTTTCGTTTGCGTGGTGGAATAGCTGATTCCTTTGATCTGGTCAGTAATAAACCTGTTAAAGTCAGGGCGAAAATAGAAATACCACAAGCTCAATTCCCAGCAATCAACTTTGTTGGGAAACTCTTGGGGCCAGGGGGTCAAACCTTGAGAGCAGTGCAAGAAACAACTAAAACGAAAATGGCGATTTTAGGTTCTGGGTCATTAAGAGATGAAGCAAAGGAAAAAGAACTTCTCGCTAATGGTGATCCAAAATATCAGCACTTGAAACAAAAGTTACATCTCCAGATCGACAGTTTGGGACCACCATCTGAATCCTGTTACCGACTTGCTCATGCCTTAGCGGAAGTTAGAAAGTTAATGTTACCAGTAAGTCCAAACATCAATTTTTATTCTTATTCAAAGGAGCAAACAGAACTTGCAGTACAACCGTGGTCACAGACAACTCAAGACCCATCCGTGATTGCTAGGAATATACCTGGTGTTAGGAATGTGCGAGCAGCATTCCGCCCCCAGCCCTCCATCCCATCACCTTTCACATCACCTCAGGTTCAGATTCCATTCCGTGGTCGGGGAAAAAGTTGGATTGGTAGAGGTGTGATGAAAAACGGAGTAGGTATCCCGCTTCAACCCCCAGTCACTGCTGACGTCTTTGTTGATGTTAATCCAGTCAATTACCCACCGATAAATTTCTACGATGTAACAGAGTTTGGCCCTCATATGTTTGAGGAATTCGGTCTGAATTATGGTAGGTCAGATGACTTTTCTCTTTCCTTTCTCTTTCGAAGTGTTTTTGAGGCTTAATTAAAATCTAAATTTTTAACCTAGGACAAGACGATACGTGGGGGAAAGTCAGCATTTCAGAACCTCGTGGACGAGGACGAGGCCATCCCTACGCGCGTCCGGCAGTCAATAATGATCACAATAATTTCGGGTAAATAAATAGTTTGACCATGAGGCTCCTTCCGTATGTACTGAAATATGACAATGAAGCCAGAGGTGCATTTCATGTGTGTCTTCGCCAATCAACTACCACTAAACGCGGTAAAATTGCTTAAATTGTCTAACTGCTTGTCTGTAGTGCTGTCTCTAAATATGTATTCATGAAAAACTTGTTAAATTCACAATCTAAATAAATGCCGTAATACCTCTGTCATGATCCTAACTTCGGATACTTAGCCTTTTTTGCACACAGGATAGAGCTTTTTAAAAATGTAGATGAAATGCTACCAAAAATAAATCCAGTCGTTCATGCCTGTGTATCCGAAACTCTGTAAAACTGCGAATTATTATTGCTGGTTCGCACCATCGATGTTTGTTTTCATTTCTCTTTATATTTCTTTTCAGCAATCTCATTTAAATAAGAAGTGTGTTGGAAACTTTTCTCTGAGTTGCATATGCATAAAAGTATTCACATGTTTGTGTACATGTATGAAATATGCCATTTTCCCCCTGGATTTAGTAGTGATCTTCATCACCCTTAAGATCACTCGGTCAATTAACAAATGTTATATATGGAGTGATAATTTATCCGAAAATGTATTTTGTCACCGTTGAGGTAAATGCTCCGCATCACATCTCAAATTCAGGATAGCATGTGATTATAGTCCAACTAATAGAAGTCTCATACGTATCAGATTCATCCATCTTCCTCTGTGGGATTTTGACCCTTTGGTCCTTGTACTCAACTTCCAACTGCTGTTTTGCGTAGAACTGTAACAACAGAAGACAAGGGCCAGGCAACAGATCGTTTATTAAGGAAATCATATATTTATAGATTTTCATGTACATTAATATAGATTATTGTTAGCAGACAAACAGTCTTCTGATTGGTTATTTCTCACTGAAAGTTAGTCTTTCATCTCTTTGTGGCTGTTTCGTGAACGTCAGATCATCTGTCTGCTAATTGTATCCGCCTACGCAAGGTCTGCTGTAATTGATTGTTGAGTCAGTCTTTGCTCTTGTTTTCACATGACCAATGATGGGACGCATAGACGTAAATTACTGTCTACCAATTTGGCTAGCAGCAAGATCTCGCAGAAATATGCAAAGTGTAGGTAACCGGATGATTCACTAACCCTCACACGTGTCGCTGACAGCCCACAGTTTAGGGGATGTAAATGTTTCAGCAACACTCCAGTTACTGCAGTTTTGTGTGACGACTAGCTCCTGCTAGTGACACTAGGTGATTTTCTTCCGTTTCATTAGTTGGGCAGACGATAATATGCAGCTTCTATGCTGGCTCACTATATATTCTAAAGGTACTAAATGTCTAGAATAAGGACGTAATTAGATTTACATGAGTTCGAGCTTCCAAATTTTGCCTAAATTCTACATCTTGCTGCTTTACGGGTAGTCAAACCAAAACCCGGCATCAGTTTATGAAGTCATTGGCTGCTAGTTTAAGCGTCGTGTAGCCTATCTGGTTGGAGCCCCCCAATAGGCTAAGACTATTGATGCCGCGGCCGAGAATCGTCCTGAGATGGATTCGCCCTTTGTAATATCCATACCCATTAAGTCTTCATGTTACTAAACTGTTTGCTGTTCGTTTCTACTCGGTATTGGTCTTTAGAACTGCTTTTTCTTTTCTACATTTTTATGGGCTACGCGGGGCGCTACAACTCCAACTGTTGTGCTTCTATGCTGAGTTCCATTTTAAAATCCGGTCGTTCATTTAACATTTTCTGTCTTAAGAAAAAGAACTACCACTCTTTTTATTCGACGGCAATTTAATCGGCGTTAGACCAAAATTTTGTACATACATGGGTTTCATTGAAAACCAACCAAGGCTAGTCTAACTAACAGTGTGAGTGGAATGGTCAACACATTCAACCATTTCGCTCAGCTTTGAGTCAGCACAGACCAATTTTTTAGCATCATTCATTCGATAAGGGCAAACCACCGTATTTAGATGTTTGCTCAGGTAACTTTCATCAGCGTCTTTACGCAAAAGGCCACATCACTGTGTATTCAAAGTAGGCGAGGACTTACGTCATGCAATTGAATTCCTGAGACCAAAATAGACCATGGTCAAATAAGTTGGTGTATGCATAGTGGAGTTCAAGAAAATGGTGACTGTCGCCGTCCCTGTGACATCGGGTGTCGTCATTCCGGATGGTCTCCATGCGTTCACAGACGGCTTATTGTATTCCAGTGGAGTGCCATGGTTGGCGTCACATTCTGCTTCAGAAATGGCTTTACGAAATTGTCAGACTCCAATAACCATGCTTTTGTCCCACAACATACCGAAATTTGAGGATGTAATTAATACATATTTAGACGGATCTGGTCTGCCAACATATTGGGGAAGATATAATATCTGTCCACTCATCTTGTTGTGTATTGCACAGCAGATTGTTTTGCCTAGTGGTTGAAGGTGTTTGGAGAAATTTGTCCTTGTCGTGTTACTTTAATGAGTATTTCAGACATTTCTTTAAAATCGAATACAGTTAGAGGACTGTCTCTGTATCCCAACTCAAGATAGTTAAATTATAGACAAATTCAACTGCTTTCTAGAGAGTTATGCAGTAATTGAACTTTCTCTTGATAGGGTAATGGACTTCCTTCAAAACTGGTTTCACTTTACGGATTGAGTGTACTTTTTATTGTGGAACGTGAATCTTGATTTTAGGATTCAACGGATTTAAAGTATATTAAGTAGGCCTATTTTCTAGTAAAACCAATATTCCAAGAAAAACCAGACCTTATTTTTGTCAAAAACGTTCATTACCAATTTTAAGCTTGTGGATACAAGTGTTGAGGCAAATAGGTTTTCTTTAGTCGAGGTTATTTGAGGACTGATCACCTAAACTGTCTATCGGGTTATATGGTAAGGAGTTGGTGCATAATAGTGAGACTGATGGCTCAGTCCATTCAAATGAGCCATGTTCTCGTCATATTTTTAAACAGCGAAATTCTAATATGTAGTACTATTGCAAATCATTGATTTTCGATAAGTTTGTTACACTATCTGGTTAAATTAGTCGGCCATCAAACACTTAGTTTCCCCGAGGTTTCAAGTATCAGTTCGGTCTACTTAACTGTGTACCGTTATAACCACTAAATGTAAAGGGAACTATTTGGTGGGTTTTGGTTCCAACATATGATTTATTACTTATGGGCAAGCGTATTTGCAAATATACACCGAATAATTGTAGGTTAATAGAGTTAATATCTCCAGTTGTTGCTAACTTTTATAGATAATTCAGGAAATGACTGAATATGATACCTGCCATATAATGCCATATATATATTAGGTAGATTAAATGTGGAATCGTTGAAAAGGTTATTTCTTCGCCGAATGAAACTGTTCATCCCTATTAACACGAAAATTAATATTATGATTGTCCAACCGCAGTAATTCATTCGGGGTAAGAAGCTAACTTGGACACTAAAAAAGCTGACAAGTTATTTGATCGTTCAGTTGGTCCTAGGAGACCAAAATAAGTTCAAAAGTATGTTCATGAAGAAACGGGAAGTGGATTGTGTTAGCGACATGATTTAGGCAATTTCGGAAGTCCGGAGCAAAATAGGAAACGGGGAAAATAGAAATCAGTGAGTATATGAAAATGAAGGTGTAAAAAGTGCTTGAAACCAAATAAAATCAGGACATCTAAAACTTAAACGTGAGTGATGAATATCATAGATTCTATCAAATTAAATCCAGGCAAAACAAAATTAAAACTGGGAGAATAAATCGAAACTTGGTAAAATATATTTCAAAGATGTAACGTTTGGGTTTTTGCATTTTCTCAGAATGCGCTTTTCTCTGACACGAAAGCATCTCGATAGACGGAGATGAGTATTTGCAAAGAATATTGGTAGACAGGTTAAAAAGTAAAAGGTATGGACTCTGATTTATGCAGTTGATTGCATGTTTTTCGTTAGATTTTGGTGTATTCGAAGATATTGTACTGTACTAAGATGTATTATGAAAAATATTTTTGTTAAGCCCTGCACTCCATTATACTATAAGGTGTATGTCGATGGGATTATTTGTATGTTGCAACTAATGGCTATTGGAGTCATCGAAATCCTTCCGCAAATATATTTCTCTTGTTATGTTGAGTAAGGCTGATGCATAGGTCGTGTTTACTCCTGTGTACACACAAAATCATCTCTGAAGGTCACAAGTGTGATACGTCTGCATACCTGTATCTATTTCTGCTTAACTATCCCAACACCAGTCTCCGTAGAACCTCGGGCTCTGATAACCTCAATAACCTCATTCCTCCATGATACCACCATCGACTTCAAATCCTACATTCGCCCAAAATCCACGGTAACAAAGCCCAGGCACTTCATAAGTCCGTAAGTCATATTGAAGAAAAGTTATTTCCCTATAATACATTCCCTCCTAGCTACACATGAGCAGCGATGCGAAACTTTCTGTCGTGGTAATCTGTTGAAAGTTAAGAGGTGTATGTTGATGTGGGTGAGGATGTTGGTGTGTTCAGGCGGGAGTGACATCTACTTCACGTCTGTATGCCTGTATACATATATATATATATATATATATATATATATATATATATATATATGTATATACATCGGTTGTGTGTAGGCGATGATTGGATGTCAGTGGGAATGTAATTGTAGTGTAAGTAGGCGAAGGTGTGTGGCGATTGGAGAGACAGAGACGAGTGTTGATTTGTGGTGTTTTGAGGAAGTGAATTCGCCTGTTGGTGGCCTGGAGGCGCTCTGATAGATGGAGGTGAGTATATGTGAATAACCTAGGTAGGTTATGGTATGTGAGATAGTTCGGGTATGTTGGAGATGTGTTTGTATGACGATTTGTTTGTAGATTCGATGTTTTGAACAGGTGTGTTGTTGTTGTTGTTGTTGATGATGATGATGGTGGTGTGGGAGTGGTGGTGTTTGTGGTGGGTGATGATGATGTTGTTGTCGTTTATTTGAGAGCTTGTAATTGTTTTGCTTATGCTTTTAGTTTTCGGTGTGTTATTCATGATGTCTGTTGGTTGTTTGGATGTTTTGTGGTGTGGGTTTATGTGTCACGTTCTCAGGGTCTTTCCTGATATGTTTGTCTCCTCACTCTTGTTTTATTTTTGTGATTTTATTTGTTGAAGTTGTGTGATATATTAGTTGTGTGGTGGTGGACACAGTATTTCGTTGTTTCGCTGTATTGTTGTGACCGCTTATTGTGATAATTTGTGTATTTTCCTATTAAAATAGTGATTCTTGAATTTTGGTTTTGTTTTCTTGCTGCCTTGAATTTGTTGAGTTCTTTGAATGGCTTGTAGTTTTGTGCTTTAAAATATGTGTTTGAATTCTGTTTCAGGTGTCCGTGGCTTAAAATTTGGACATGCCTTTTACTATTTTATTCCTGATTGTTTTTCTGCTGTTATTTCTGTGTACATATTTGTTTGAGGAGCGTAGCTGTTAGTCTTGTGTATTTGTCTGTAAGGTAGCCGGAGGAATCATTCGATTTTCTATGGTTGTTGCAACGAACGAACAGGTGATCGTTGATTGTAAGACCGCTGCAACATCCAATTAAATACTCTGTGTAATAGTTGTAGAACGTCTTCCTAACTATGAGAGGTGAAGTGGCTTCGAATGAAAGAGAGAGTGCATGTTATGAAGTATTCAGTGTCCCTTTAGCCTAAGCGTTTGCAGTAAATTTCTCAGTGCAGAGAGTTGAGTGATTATGAAGTATTCCAGAGGTGTGTGTGTTTGTGTGGAGAGTTGATCGAATCGAAAATGGATTGGGACGTGGATGAG